TCCCCTCCCCCGCCTCGGCCAGCCAGCCGCGCCGCTGTGTTCCTGACAGCGCGCGGTCTGTGTTCCAGGGGGAAGCGGTTCGTGGCGATGAAGGTGGTGAAGAGCGCCCAGCACTACACGGAGACGGCGCTGGATGAAATCAAGCTCCTGCGATGCGTGAGTCCTCCTGTCCCTTGCTCTCTCGCTCTTCCTGCGTCGCCCTTTCTCTCTCTGACCAGCCCGTCCTGCGTGCGGAAAACAGACCAGGGGATGTGCAGCCACGTTAAGGTCATGAGACACTGCTGAAACTCTGCTTAAGCTTGCACGGAGTCTGCCCTGCCTGTATCTGAGCAGATTAGTAATAACAATAAGAAGAAACCTTATTTTATAAAGGCATCGTCTCCAAGACAAACAAAGCTACAAAGATAGGAGATTAAAATAGCACAAAGAAGAGGGTTTATGATGCAGTAGAAAATGCAAAGGGACAGACACAGACATAACTTAAATAAAGGCCTTTCTGAAGAAGAAGGCTTTGAATTTGGATTTGAAAGTGCTCAGGGAAGGTGGCTCTCTGATATCCTTGAGTATAGATTTCCAGAGCTCCAGGGTGTAACAGAAGACCCTGTCACCCATAGAGTGTAGACAGACTCAGGGGACGTTAAGTCCGATTAACGAAGGCTGCGAGGTGGGGTGTAGCGAGATAGGAAGTCTTCAGGTACTAAGCTGCCAAGCTATGCAGAGCCTTACAGGTGAGCATGAGGATTTTGAAGTCAACACAATGCCTGACTGGAAGCCAGTGAAAGGCCTCCAGGACAGGAGTAATGTGATCACTTGCCCACGACCTTTCCAGGTTTCTGAATTCCACCGAATTCTGGACATACCAGAGTTTGTTGTTTAGATACCCCAGCCAGTAGGACGTTACAGTAATCAATTCTAGAGAAGACAAATGTATTGACAAGCTTTTCGGCGACAGTCAGAGACAACCTAGGATGTGGTCTAGCAATATTTCTGAGATGGAGGAATGATGGTTTTTGAAGTTTGGATATGTGTGATGCACATACAGTATGGGTTAAATGTTAAGCCTGGATCAAATATAACCCCCAAGTGATTTCAGGTTCATGGAAATGAGTGCTCTCTCATCATGGCAAGACCTGGAAGCAGGCAGGTTAATAAAATTACTGGATTCCTGGATTCTCAGATAACCAAAGAGAGAGCTGGAGTAAATTACATGCACAGTAGTTTATCCCAGTTTTTGAGAAATTAGCACTGGTAAGTTCAGCAGGTGCTAAAGTATTACAGTGGAGTTTAATAGACCAGTCAACCCTTGAGAAAAATGGTTTGCCAATCGCTCAATATGTTATAAAAAGAATGCATTTTCCTCCTGCAAGATCCCTGTTTCTAAGCAGTATCCTTCTTCTGTGCAGACTGATGATGAAGAAGTTCTCATCTCTGATTAAAGTATTTTCCACATTGAACTACTGTAGAAGCTCAATGGGAGTCTATATAATATACAATAACGTTGTATCTTGTATCTGCACTGAGATGTGGTGGGGTACTTCTGCCTGGACTGTTATTAATTACTATAAAAATGCTAATTAATATAAATGGGCAAAAGAGCTAAAATATTAGGATTTTTTGTACAACTGAATAAGATTGGTAGATGCATTTTCAGATTTTATACACCTTGATCTGGGATGTAGAGGTGACACTGAAATCAGGCCAGAGATATTGTTTTTCTTGAAGTCAGTAATACCAAAGTGAATTAAAGAAGAACTGAACTAAATTTAAATAGTACAAAATCAGATGTGATTTGTACTCTCAAATCAAGTTTTTTTTTTAAGTTCTGAGATTAGGTTTTGATTCTTGCAAATTTGTTCACGGCAAATATCTGGACCTTCTAAGCTTGTGCTGTATCTCTGAATTAATCAAGATAAAAGGGTTGACTTTGGGCTCCTTTTGTTTTTTCAGACATGCAAAGTTTTCATGAAATGGGAGCTGTATGAAGACAGTGGCCCAGGTCTATATTTTACCAAGGGCTTGTACAATAAAATATTTGTGTTTCTTAGCTACCGGAACTGTCCCAGTTCACAAAGCAGCTGTATAGCAGAAAGAATCATTATCATGTTGAGAAAATAAACGCCCCCTCCTCTACCTTAGACAAATGTGTTGCAAATTTAAAATACAAGTGTGGATTTCCAGTGTGTAGGAGTATCAGCTGAAGGAAGTAATTATGTAAAAAAGACAGAGGTGTTAGACGCATATTGGAATAATCTTAGCTGCGAATATAAATAGAAACGGTTCAGCTTCTATCCTCTGTTTCAGTGTTGATATTCAGCTTATTTTCATAGCTGATCCCCTCTGTGTTGTGGGCTGTCTGTTTGCACCCCCAGGTCCGGGAGAGTGACCCCAGTGACCCCAACAAGGACATGGTGGTCCAGCTGATTGACGACTTCAAGATCTCGGGCGTCAATGGCATTCGTATCTTTCAGAGAAAGAGAGAGGGAAAGTGTGTGTGAGGTGTATGTTAGGGGTTATTATAATAGCTTTTATTTTCTATGGACGGTCCATCGTCTGTGGTCCTTGACCCCACGCTCAGATGTGTGCATGGTGTTCGAGGTGCTGGGGCACCACCTGCTCAAGTGGATCATCAAGTCAAACTACCAGGGGCTGCCACTGCCTTGTGTCAAGAGCATCATCAGACAGGTAACACTGGCGCTTGTGCACAATCCGAAAGTCACATACTGTACTGCCATGCTGTGCTGACACACTGCAGTCACACACTGACGCACAGCTCTCGGAAGATTAACTCAGCGGCATAGTGCCTGACCTGAAGTCACTGCAGTCTCACAGTACTCTCTGCTGTACAACAGTTACTTTATGCTTTGACATGCTCTTGTAAAAAATGCAATACGTGTTTTAAGAGACAGCCACCCAGGCGCTTGTAGGCATGTGGTACTGTCTATGAGGGACATGTCTCTCCTCCAATTGGTGCGGTTACTCCAGTATCTGGCGGTGCTGCCTGTGAGGGACATGTCTCTCCTCCAATCAGTGTTGATCATCCACTATGGGCAGCGCTGCTTGTGAGGGGTAAATCTTTCCTCCAATCAGAGCTGATCCCCCAGTATAGGGTGGTGCTGCCTGTGAGGGACACGTCTTTCCTCCAATCAGCGTTGATCCCCCAGTATGGGGCGGTGCTGCCTGTGACGTGTTAAAAGACGAGTGACTGGAAGTTGGGTGGGTTCAGAGGAGCTACTTCCTCATTCTCCCCCGTGTGCGGTGGGGGGGTTTGTAGCTGTGAGCTGAAACGTGAAACGTGAAACGCACAATTGACAATGGCAAAACTCGGGGTCAGTATAGCAGAACAAATTGGCGATTCTAATTTAAAAAAAAATAAGAATTCTTTCCCTTCCTCCCTCTTCTCTCACTTTCTGCATCCTTCTGTTTCCCCTCTTTCTCCATTCTGCTTTATCCCTTTGACCCCACTCATCCCCCCCGACCACAACTCTCTCCTAGGTGCTGCAGGGTCTGGACTATCTCCATAGTAAGTGTAAGATCATTCACACCGACATCAAGCCGGAGAATATCCTAATGTGTGTGGATGATGCCTTTGTACGCAGGATGGCTGTTGAGGCCACAGAATGGCAGAAGGCTGGGGCACCCCCCCCCTCTGGATCTGCAGGTACCCCCAAATTCAGTGCCTCCCTGTTACTGGTGTGAGTGTCTGTGCACATGTGTGGTAAAGTACGCAATGAAAGGCAGAGGAGCAGCTGGTGTGCTATCCCTGCAGTGTGTGTTCTTTGGGATGTACTGTACGAGACGCAGCATCTGCAACGCGGTTCTGCTGTGTAAATGGAGTGCCTAGCAAGAGGTAACAGTTCTTCGCTAGGTTCTTGTCCAGGACACCGACAGCTGCTGCTGCATATGTGGTTTGAGTGGAACCTGGGGCTTGCTAGCTTTTTATGGTGGTAGTATCCCCTTGCAGTGACTTACAATTGATGTAGCCTCGGTAATCCAAACGTGATGGTTCATACTGTATACTTTTATGGATGAAAAAGGTTAAAAACAAAAAACCTGACATATATATAT